CGTCGCTTGAAGCCTATTGCCAAAAACTCAAAGAATTGGGCAGCCAACTCAACGACGTGGATTGTCCGGTTAATGATCAAAGACTTGTTCTTCAGCTTGTTAGAGGACTCCCGGCGGAATACGATACCGTGGCCTCGTATATCAATCAAAGTCTTCCTACGTGGGAGACTGCATGTAGTATGCTTGAATTGGAGCATCATTGACAGACTGCCTGGGAAACCATGACTACACCAACTGCCATGGTTGCCGTATCCGCAGAACCTCAGCCAGATCCTTCCAATCCTATCAACAGAAGACGCCCTAACAACAGGCCCGGACATAGGCGGCCCAATAACTCCTCCAGCGGATCCTCCTCAACAGCCACTAGGCGTGGTTCCGGCCAGCCTCAATCAGCCCATGCACCGTGGAACACTCGGCCCACTCGGCTGCCCAATTGGGCCTATTGGAGCCCTCCGCCATGTCCATATCCCACCAACCCGGGATGGGCCTCCCCATGGGGTAGATCTCCTATGCCAGTCTGGCCCGAGCCTCCTGGCCCACCTGCACATCACAGGTCCGGCCCAAGACCTTCTAGCCCAACGGCGAACCAAGCCAATCTATCTACCTTTGATCCTCTCAAGCCAACTCAGCTTGGTGAAGCACTTCAAACCATGGACCCGGTTGATGATCAATGGTACATGGACTCAGGTGCAACTGACCATCTCACGGGTGACCAAGGTAAGATTTCTACACCCTCGTTAAATTGTCCCATTGGCTCGATATTTGTTGGTAATGGTGCTTCTGTGCCAGTTCGTGGATCGGGTTCCTCCATCATTCCCACGCCCACACGTAACCTTCACCTAAACAACATTCTTTACACTCCCAACATCATTAAGAACCTCATTTCCGTTCGTAAATTTTCTGTTGATAATAATGTGTCCATTGAATTTGATCCTAATGGGTTTTCTGTGAAGGATTACCAGAGTGGTCAGATGTTGTCCCGCTACAATAGCTCCAGTCGTCTTTATCTTCTCTTGTATCCGGTCACCAACGCCACCTTCTTCACCTCCAGTGCTCGAGATTTTTGGCATGATCGCTTGGGACATCCCGGTGCTCCTGTCTTAGATGTTCTTTGTTCGAATAACATTATTCCATGTTCTAAACATAGTAAATCTTTTGTTTGCAATTCTTGTCAACTTTCAAAGCACAAACGATTACCGTTTTCTGATTCTACGTCTATTACTATTTCACCCTTTGATATTGTGCATTGCGACTTATGGACATCTCCTATCCCCAGCAAAGCAGGTTATAAATACTACATGGTTTTAATTGACGATTTCACGCAATCTCAAATTCAAGTCTGAAACTTTTTCCAAATTTTCTCAGTTTCATAAATACATCCACAACCAATTCAATCTCAAAATTAAAGTTTTCCAATGTGACTTAGGGGGTGAATTCAATAACCAAAATTTCAAATCTTTTGCTGAAACAAACGGTCTTCATTTCCGTTTCTCTTGCCCTCACACTTCCCAACAGAATGGGAAATCTGAACGTATGATTCGTAGACTTAACGAGATCATGCTCACCCTTCTCACACACGCATCTCTCCCACCCTATTTCTGGGTTGAAGCCTTACATACCGCGTGCTATCTCCACAACATTCTCCCCACCAAACTCTTAAAATTCACCACCCCTTTGACTGCCCTCTATCATCGACACCCTTCCTATGATCACCTTCGGGTTTTCGGGTGTGCCTGTTATCCTAACACGACTGCGACTCGGAAACACAAGTTGGAACATTGCTCCACTCGTTGTGTTTTCCTTGGATACCCCGCCAACTTTCGCGGGTATCGATGCCTTGACCTCTCTTCTGGCAAGATCCTCCTCTCTCGTCACGTCATTTTCGACGAGACCTCTTTTCCTTTTTTTGATAAACATCCCACTACTCCTTCCTCGAATCTGATCCATCTCCTACCATCTTTGACCCAGCAGCCACTTCCCCACCACCTACCCAACATACTTCCCCATCTCCCACTCTCCAACAACCTCCTATCATCCATACCTACCACCGTCGAAATATACAAGTCCCGACAACCTCCTCGCAGCYCTCTTCAACCGCTGCACCACCACCACCACCGTCACCCCCTTCACCACCTCCACCGCCGCCGCCACCCGCATCAACCCACCCCATGATCACTCGTTCCCGAGCAGCAACTTATGCCTCTTCTCTTAACCTACATACAGATACACATACTTCACCTTCTCCCATACCAAATTCCCACATCAAAGCCCTTTCCGATCCACACTGGCGCGATGCCATGAATGAAGAATACCGAGCTCTAATGGACAATCACACGTGGGACTTGGTACCTCGGCCCCCTGATGCGAACATTATCCGGTGCATATGGTTATTTCGTCACAAGTTTAACGCAAATGGCACCTTACAACGCTACAAGGCCCGATTGGTCGTTAACGGGAAATGTCAACATGTCGGCAACGATTGTGATGAAACATTTAGTCCCGTAGTCAAACCGACCACAATTCGAACGGTGCTCAGTCTCGCTATTTCCCGGGGTTGGTCCATTCACCAACTCGACGTTAAAAATGCTTTTCTCCACAGGGACTTAAATGAGACGGTATATATGTTTCAACCTCCGGGATTCACCGATGCCACTCACCCTAATTATGTATGCAGGTTACGCAAGTCTCTTTATGGGCTCAAACAGGCCCCTCGCGCGTGGTATGACANATATATATATATATATACATATATATACACAGAGAGTTAAATTTACACAAAAACAATAATTAAACAAGATAATAAGAAAATAGTCAAACCACATGTAGTTTTATACAAAAATCACATTTGATTCACATGTCTTTGTTCGCGAAGCCACGCCACTGACACACCGTTGCATCGACTATTGGTATAAAATCATGATTTAAATATTTTCTTGTTCTTTTATTTTTCTTTTATTTAGTCATACTCTTCTGAACCTCCCACCCACTATAAATAAACTTGTTAGGAAAAAGAAATCCTAAACCATTCAAGACATTTTTAATGCACAATGCAGCCCAATTTACATTGGTTGAGTAACTCAACCCAACTTCAATTGGTTGTGATTGTGATTGTGAACAACATATGTTAAGAATGATGGTTAAATTAAAACCTAAAAGACAAAATGAATCAAGTCTTGATTGATGGTTACTACTTAATCGTCGAAAATATCCAAACATAAGTCCACAAAAAGAATCAACTAGTATCTAAATACCTATCTTTGACCAGCCTCTTTGGGTGGAGTCGTACCCAACCATTTTCCAACTTATAAAAATACATTCAGAGGTCGTTTACCAACGCTTATTCCGATAAGTGCTTACCGGCAAAATTCAACATTGTCAATTACTTATCAGGTGAGATTTTAGTCTATCAAAACGGTATCGTATGCAACAATTAACCTGGTAAGTTCTAACCATGGCAAGAGTCGTTGCCGTGAAGAACAAACGAAACCAATATAGAAGATAAGAAAAAAATCATATCCTGAAATATGCGTAGGCTTTTCCCATTTACCCTCCACCTTTATTTTGTTACTAGTAACTTTACAGATCACCTGTCTTCAAAATGCATGTCTCTTTCCCATCCATCAATCAACTCTTGACATATCACTATTTTATTAAAAGAAAATAGATTAAAATATGAATTAAATATATATACATACATATATATATATATATATATAACATATCAAGGGTTTATTGGTGACACATGAAGGAGATAGAATACAAGTGATATGTATTCAAAACATAAACCCTTGGATTTGGGCAAATTATCCACCAATGCTGAATGAAACCATATCTATATACATAACATGTACACAAAAACTGAAAACCAATGACTACACATTTAGAAGCATCCCAGTCCCATTATCCCACACTACTTACTATATTATATAAAGCTGAAAAAGGCATAAAGAAGATTGAAAGAAACAAGAGTTTGAGGTTGAGGGTATACCTCTAAAAATTGGAAGCAACAACAGGTAACCCAAAGTCAATTTGGTTATCACTATTAGATCAACCACCACCATTACCTATGGATTTGGAAAACAACATTAGATTTAGAGGTATCAACGGTTCTCAAACCGTACAACAATGCAAGTAATGTTGTCGGAACTGCCCCTTGCATACGATTCTTGCACAAGTTTCCTACATGCAGCTTCTGCGTCTGTTATTTCCTGCACAATACCCACCGCATCCTGCAACAACCATCACTTACATTAGTTTTATTTTATATTTTAAAATGCGAGAAACCTCATTTACACACTTTTGACTAGTTGGGGATTTTCTTGGGAAACAGTCGCTCTACTCTTTAAATGCAACTTAAAATAGTTGTTAAATAAGTAGAATGCTAGGGAACTCTTTCACATTTTGGCTGAACCCCTCAAGTGGCCCTCTTAAGGCTGACCAGCATAGCGCTGAATACATGTGCTATAACAACCCCAGGGATAAGTTTCTAGGATTTCAAGTTAGGTATGCCTCTCATGTCCAGAATTTGTGATTCAAAGACAAATGACAAGAGAACTTCAAAGCTAATTTCTCCAAGTTCCACACACAGAAAATTAGATACCATCAATGGGGAGTTGGCTAACCTTATTTGACAGTACATTCCAGAGCCCATCACTTGCAATGATTATAAACTCCACACCGTCAATTTCTTCCTCCTGTGATTCAACAATGCATCAAGCAAAATAGATATTCATGATCATCATTGCATCAAGAAAACAAAAACATCGATGCAAATAACCTATAAAGATTCTCTTGGTTCCTCTTATATATGCGAGGAGTTGAAAATATATACATAAAGAAGCATACATGTTGAAGACTACACACAACAAAGGATGTGCTAGATACATGTTCAAGTCATATTTTTGGGTTTATACTGATTATGAGAATTTTGAAATATGTGATAAGCTATACCTGAATTTCTGGTTCAGCTACAACATAAGGCTTGAGTAATTTGTCTCCAAAAGCACGAGAAACAGCAAGAACCCCGCCAACCCGCCATGTTCCTGAATTTCATTAGCTAGGTGATTAATATGTTGAAGAATTGGGTGGCAGTTGATGTAATAGTTGGCATATGTTGTGAGAATATTCTAGGAATTATCTTTTCTTATTCACAATAGGAGAGAATACAAACATTTATACACAAAAGAGTCCTATATTAGTAAACTATACAAAGGAGACCAAGAAGGTAAAACCCTAGATATCTAACTATGTATGAAATCTAGCACTACTCCTCAAGTTGGAGCAAAGATGTTAAGCATGCCCAACTTGTTACAATTAAAATCTATTTGGGGTTTCCGCAACGGCTTTGTGAGAATGTCTGCAAGCTGGTGCTTGGACTAAATGTGTACTGGTTGAATCGATGGAGGGTCTGTCTGGATTTCTACAACCCAGTCTCTAATCAGATGACAATCAACCTCAATGTGCTTAGTCCTCTCATGAATTACTTGATTTTTGGCCATATAATCTCTCAAGTTGTCAGCTTACTGATTATCACAATATAATCTCATCAAGTTGTCAGTAATCACTCCAAGCTCTCTTAGAATTCTTCTTACCCATGTCATCTCACATGACACATCTGTCATGGCTCTATACTCTTGACTTGGCACTTGATCGGAAGACTACATATTGTTTCTTGCTCTTCCAAGAAACTAGATTCCCATAGACAAATACATAATATCCTGTAGTCGATCTCCTGAAAACGGGACAACCAGCCCAATCGGCATTAGAAAAATCAGATATCCTACCATCCCCTTCTTCAGTGAATGCACCCACTCGACATGGCCCTGAATTGAATAAAGTATCCCTAAGCCCGGTGTAGCCTTGAGATACCTAAAAACGCAAAGTGTTGCCTCCCAATGGCTTGTATAGGGAGCAAACATGAACCGCCTCAAGACACTAACCAGGAATGATATATCTAGTCTAGTAACCGTAAAATAGTTTAGCTTTCCAACCATTTTCCCATATCTCTTTGGATATTTCAAAGGATTTCCATCATCTGGAAGAAGTTTTCTCGTAGCAAACATTGGGTTGTATGTTGGTTTACATCCCAATAGACCACACTTAATAAGCATATCAAGAACATATTTTCGCTGAAATAGAAGAATCCCTTGTCGAGATCGAGATACTTCTATCCCAAGGAAATAACAAAGCCATCCAAGATTGGTAACTTCAGACTGTCTCTATAGAAATTGTTTCAAGTCTGAAATCCGTGTACGATCATCCACGGCGATAATAATGTCATCTACTTAGACCACTAGTATAATTCGTTGATCATCATGATGTCTAAAAAACACAGAATAATCCTAGGATCTAAGAGTCATACCAAACTCCTAGAGAACATCTGAAAACTGTCCAAACCATGCTCGAGGGGACTGTTTGAGACGATACAATGAACGTCGCAATTGGCACACCTTTGTGGACTCTTCAATAACAAACCTAGGTGGTTGTTCCATGTATACCTCCTCCTCAAGAATGCCATTAAGAAAAGCATTCTTGACATCCAACTGATGAAGCGGCCAATGATTAATGGCAGCCAAAGCTATACAAATTCGAACAGACGAGATTTTGGCCACCGGGGGAAAACCTCTCGTTATAGTCAACCCCATAGGCTTGAGAGTAACCTTGGCAACTAACCTAGCTTTCAACCAATGCAGTGAACCATCTGGGTGAAGTTTCACTGTGAATGCCCATGTACAACCCATTTTGCACTTTCCACGAGGAAGTTGTTCCAAATACCAAGTATGATTCTTCTGTAGGACATCTATCTCTTCCTGCATTGCCAACAACCATCTTGGATGATTAAGAGCCTCAGTTACATTCTTGGGAACAATATGGTAATCAGCAGCTGTGATGTAGGCACACGACTCTGAACAGTGGTGGGAGTAGGCAAGATAATCATGAATGGGATATCTTTGTGTGCCTTTTCGAAAGGCACTTGGATATCAAGGAGAGGGCACCAGGTGAGTCATAAGGCTCGGTGTGTGTGGTGGTTAAGGTGTATCAGGTGTTGGGTCGGACACTGTATCAGTAGGCAAGGATAGTGTGTATCAAGTGGTGGAACAGGAGACTCACAAGAATCATGATGCACTAGTATGAACTCTGGGGTCTCAGGCACTTGCCTCACTATCGAACATACACATTTGTGAAACGAGTATCAGGAGGTACTGTAGGAATAGCAACACTCAGTGTCTGCACAATATCAAAGACCGAAGGATCAGAAGATTCAAAAGAATCAGAACCAGATTGGTTGATTCTGAACCACTAGAGATAGGTTTGTCATCAAAGGGACTCAACTCATTGAAGGTGACATCAGCATAAGTAAAATATCTACGCAAGTAGGACTATAACAACGATAGCCTTTTTGGACACATGAATACCCAAGGAACACACACTTGATAGCACGTGCTATAAGTTTATTATGTCCCGGGCGATGATCATGGACATAAGAAACACATCCAAAGATTTTAGGAGCCGGAGAAAAAGATGTGCCATTTGGAAATTGAATGAGAAAAATATGAGGGCATACGGTTAATCAGATAAAAAGATGTAAGAACTATTAGCTGTAAATTAGCTATTTCTGAGTTTAGCCTCATCTATTTTAGGATGTTTATTATGTCATTGATCACCCCTAAATGAGTGGAGATCATTTCCTAATTTGTAGCCTCTCAGTTGYATATATATTCAGCTGATGTATATAGAAGATAATGAAAGGAAAACACGATTACTTTCAAGAACTACATCGGCCGAAAATCTCTATGGTACACTATAGTGAATCATCATAGTGCGAGCCACATCGAACAAATGGCGGTTCTTTCATTCAGCATTGCCATTCTGTTGGGGTGTATAGGCACATGGCCATTCATGTATAATACTAGGGGTGCTCATAGATATATAACATGTAAAATCGGAAGAAAAATATTACATGCATTATCATATCTGAGTTTTAATAGGGACATCAAATTGGGTTTTGACATAAGCATGAAAGTCACAAAAGATGGAAAATGCTTCATCACATGACTTGAGCATATAAACCCATGTTGCACGAGAAAAATCATCAACAAACGTAATAAAATATTTAAATCCACTAGTAGAAATCACGAGACAAGGTCCCGTACATCAGAGTGAACTAACTGAAATAAAGAAGTGACATGACTAGACTCTCTAGGGGAACAAGGACAACAAGTGTATTTACCCAACTGACATAACTCACGAACAGACTAAAAATCCAATCTTAGTTTCAGAACTAGTAAAGAAGGGTGGCTGAGCCGGCAGTGAGCCTCCCTGATACTAGAATCACAAAGATGTGCTACTAAAGATCGCAATGTAAACAAACAATAGAGACCTTGAAATTCAAAACCTGTGCCAATCAACTAGTTCTTCCCCGATTCATGAAAGACACAAATCACACAATGTGTTGGAAAAAAGGTTACAAAACAGTTGTCTTTTTGAAATTTGGCTATGGATATTAAGTTATCTGGGAAATTGGGAACATAAAGAACAGATGACAGATTTAGGTTTGATAGGTTGCTAGTGGATCTCATGCTCCTAATTTGACAGGAAGATCCATTAGCAAGCCAAACTGGAGTATGGGGTATCTCAGTATTGAAATTGGATATTAGTTCTTTATTCCCAGTCATGTTATCTGTGCCTCCTGAATAAAAAATCCAGGATGTTGAGCATGCAGAAAAACAAGCAGATGGTATACCTGATTGTGTGTGCTAGCATGAGTAGATGAAACCTAGCTCAAAGATTCATGTTGGGATCGAGAGACATCTTCAACGTGGACTATGTGAGTGGCGGTAATATAATCTATAGATGCAACCTGTGCTCGAGAAGGACGAGGCAACGGTTGGGATCCAGGCCAGAAGTAGGACGATTCGGGCAGTTATACTTTGTTTTAAATCAAGCAACCTTTCGCCTTTATTTTTTTGAGGCGACAAGGACCCGCAACTCTCGAAGGGGCCACCAACCACCCGAATCAGAAGCAAACGAGCCAGGGAAAGAAAGGAGAGAGAGAGTGCTTTATCATACGATATTTGCCACCCAAATTCCTTGCAATAAAAACAACGGATCTTTTTCTATATCTGTCCGCTCCACCATTTATGCTACTAGAGGTTGCAAAAGCTTATATGTCACTCCCGAATGACGAGGATGGAGAGTTACTGGAGTACATTTCTCATGCAAGATGATATGTGGATGCTGATACGTGGATGCCAATGACTGACATGTTGAGTAACTCAATAGTAGAGAACGAGCACCGGAATATTTGGCAGACAATCCCGAAACGAACGTCATCACATTCATCTTTGCTACCCGCTCTTGAACATTAGGAGTGACAGGTAAAGGAACCCAGAGCTCCTCGAATAACTTTGTTAGCCTCATATAGTACTCGGTGAGATGGGAATCGCCTTGCTCGCATCTGAAATACGATCCGAACACGGAATAAGTATGAGACACGGATTCCTTAGCCGAGAAGATAGACTCCAAGTGGATCCACATCTTCTTTGAGGTAGGGTAGTTCTGAGCAATGCTTAAGACTTAAGGTTCCATTTTATTCCATAGGGCCAAATCCACATCTTCTTTGTGGTAATGTAGTTCTAAGCAATGCTTAAGACTTATGGTTCCATTGTATTCCATAGGGCCACTCAGATACCACTATCGTTGAGCTTCCATTCCCAGGTTTTTGGATTCGGAGGGTCCTAGCTTAAAATAATCATCCTTGTCTAAACTTTCGAGACCAGTTTGAACAAACATACTAATTGAGCCCAATTTGCATAATTGAGTTTAACCGGATCTTCAACCCAGCGACAAAATTAATTATAACGGGAATGGTCAAGCCACTGGACGTCGGTTTTTAAGTTTTGTCCGTAGGTGACATTGTTGAACTTGATTGTATAAAAAGGTTGAAGTTAGTTCCCTCACAATAATGACTCACGGTTCTTGACAAAAGAAACTAGGGACAAACAACAAGAACAAAGAGAAAGAGAATGTAGAAGATTTGGAAAGCACACAGCAGCAAAGAATCAGATCTGGGAACGGTGACAGGCGGAGGTGACGGCAGCGCCGATGGCGGTTTTGAAGGAGGAAGGTGTCAATAGTGGCAGATCTAGATAGGGATCGAGGTGGCGACCGCAGATCTGCTGAGGAGGGCAGCGGCTAGGTTTCCGACGGCAACGAGACTAAGGTTCAGGCGAGTTCCAGCAATGGCGGCGGTTAGGATTCCTTCAGGCTCTTATACCATGATAATATTCTGGGAATTATGTTCTTATTCACAATAGGAGAGGATACAAACATTTATACACAAGAGTCCTATATTAAGGACACTATACAGAGGAGACCAAGAAGGTAAGATATCTAACTATGTAGGATATCTAACATGTTGCAACATGTCTATAATATTGACACAGATGAAGGGTACAACAAGAAGAGACACTTTCTAAACATGCTGAGTGGCACACCACTTTGAATAACATGCACTACTGGTCTAGAAGATTCCTTAGCAAGATATCATTTCTAGGATGCACCAATTAGGAACGTCTACTTCTAACATCCATGTCACTCATTCTTCTCCAATGAAGGCAATTTTAGTTGGTCCTAATAAATGTGCATCCGAGCTTTCACATATATAATCATTTAATCAATTGGCTCCACTTGTAAACTTTCACAAAGATGATCTGAAAGTGTACTGAGGGAATAATAATTCGTCTCTAACACTAAAACCTGTATTTATCCTAATAATTGCAATATCTTTCCTTTTTCCAGCATAAATGGAAAAAGAGTACAGAAAAGATCCAAGCCACATCAGAGAACAAAGATAATAGAGAAAACATCCCATGCACAATATTTGTTTGTCCTGAAGGACATATTAGACAAAAGAAAGACTCATTCTGTACGTCACCAGAAAAAATTTCATGTTGCTGAATTCACTTTGATCCACTGCCCATATTACTATGAGATATAACACATAAATATTTCAATGTAAGTTGGCTTGTAAAGTATCAAATAATATCGTTTTAGCCTATGTGATGGCTTGACTAAAATGAAGGCATCAATTTATGAACATCAGATTTTTAGCTCAATGGCCCATCTTCTAATAAAGATATTTGCAGATTGTGCAATAATATTCACACATATCGAGTCTACTTCTTTACAAACTATTATAGCCACACAGCTCCAAATACAAAACCTAACCCCACCAAAAGGGCACTGCGACCCTTGTCATCATCACCTTTGTACCTGTTGCACACCGTTTATATGATATTAACTGCCAACAAATGACCCTTAAGGGTAGACACCACCCTCTGGAGCACCCCCCCTCGGGAGGTAAATCACTGTCACTCAGCAGGAAGTGATGGTACCCTGGTTTGAAACCCGGGGCCTNCCCCCCCATTGCACCGGTCCCGCAGCCATCATGGGGGAGGTAAATCAATATGAGTCAGCAGCAGTGGTGGTGCCTGGGTTTCAACCTGGACCTCCATTGTGGAGTGCCCACCATCTTACCGCTGAGACAACATGCGAGGAACACCTGACCCTTAATCTCGTCTGAGGTACAGATACATGGTTGTTTGGGCTTTGTAGAGCTGCCACAACCTCCTAGGCATTGTCACACGGCTGTCCGGGTCAAGTTTAAGACTGGAAACCTAAAACAGATTTGCACTTCATTGATTGTCACGGTATCTAATTATTGTTATTTTGGTCGATATGGATGGTAAAGCAAAGGAATTAATTAATGGTACTTAAGGGAGTTTCTGTTTGAATAAGCAGATCAAGGCTCCAAGTTATTGATAAAATTGAATAACAAGAAGTGGATTTCAACCCAATCCAATACAAGCCTCCAAAGGTGTTCAATAGAGAAAACAAAAAGTGGATTCGAATCCAACTTCCACGTTTTAGTTTCTCATCCTGCCTCAACAAGGATAGTGCAAGGAGTTGATACTTAACACTTTGATCAATTGGCAAAAGAAGACACCAAAGTGATGTACACTTGTTACAGTAAGAGGATGCCTATGTCACCAAAAGAACCTCAGACTGAAATAAAGGGCTCATAAGCTCTCCCACCCAATCCAATTTTATTTTTTATTTTTTATTTTTTATTTTACGATAAAACTATTCTCCTTCCAAACAGCACCAACTCAGTTCGCAAGTTATTAAAGTCCTTCCACACACCCACCTCCAGAGAATCCATGGAATATTGCCATCGCTTTCTATTAACTTCAGAAAGCAATGGAATCAGGAAATTACCTAAAGTCATTTATTATTCCATGCATTAGTAAAAATAAAATACATCATTCTTCTATGGTAATTCTAGCTCTAACTAAGAATATTTATACCACGCTTTTCCACCATAAGAACTAGGAAAAGCCAGTAGGATATTAATGAGGAAACACCCAGACAGGCAAACGAAATTGATTAACAACTCAGATTAACCAAATAACCAAGAACAAGAAAAATCAGAACTTCCTGATTTACCAACTAGAAATTTTTATCATCTTCATAGTCACGGGCACGAATAATTGAAGCGGAAACACATATCATACCAGCCCAAATGATGAAACCCCCAGCCTGTTCGATACGCTCCCGTTCATCAGTTCTGTCGGGCTTGTGATCAATCGATAAAGGGATAGCTGCAAAACAAAGCATCGGTCAAAGCTACAGACATGACGATTATATTAACTGCATGTTCATGTCATAGTTATAAGCATTATTAAAATAGAAGCCGTTGCATTTCCATATACATTTCAATATCAGTATTATCCATAACCAATATATAATCATGCCATAAGTAATAACTCATGAGAATGGAACCCCCCTCCCCTTTGATAGATTAGAGAAGAAACGCCACCAAATTAATGCCAACAGAGTCAATATTACAGTACAAACTCCTACAGATCAAACTGTTATACCTGAATAGTGTGGTCAAATATAGTAGGCTGTGGTACAAGTGGCTAATGCACTATAGTACAAGTAGGTAATGCAGGGGTTGTAATAAGTGGGGTAGTAAAAATAGGGGAAAGTTAGGTACTCTACTAAGGGGTCATCGATCATTTTGTTAAGTTTATTATTGGTGTGACCGTGTGAGCTAGCTTGCTAGAAAGTGGGGTAGTACAAGTAATGTACAAGTGTTACCTTACAAGAAAGTGAGACAAATAATATTCATCGGTTTGTTATAGCCTATGCTGTTAATATCGCGATATATCGTCGATATATCGGCGATATATCGGATATCGCTCCTAGAGAAAATATCGGTCAAAATATCGTCCCCGATATTATCGGCGATATTTTCCCATTTTTCCCGATTTTTAGCGATATTTTGATGCAAATATCGGACCGATATATCGATTTTTTAGGGTTTAAATATTTGGGCTTTTGTTACTTCATGGGCCTAGTTTTTTGTGCTTGGTAACTTAAATTAGGTCTGAAATTGATCTGCCTCCACAACAGTTTCTTCTTTCTTTTATATTAGCTCGTTTTTTAACACTTTAGATGATGTGATGTTTTAATTTTGAAACTATATTTCTAAACTCTAATTAATGCATATTATATATATAATTCTAAGAAATATTATGTTAACCGCTATTTTGGACCGATATATCAGCGATATAACCGATATATCGAATGTCGGTCCTGACCGATATTTCGTATTCTGACGGATATAACAGCATAGGTTATAGCATTAGTTTATGGTGTTGATAGCTAGAACAGGTGGATAAAAGATAAGCCTCCTAGGGCAGAAAAAATAGTACTAAGTTCAGTAGTTAAGGCGGCCAACCTGACCCTGCCCTGCAAGCAACAACTCTGGAATCTCCTACATTTGCTACCAGAAGTCGGTCCCCAAGCATTACCGCAGTCGATGCAGTAGAACCAGCATCTCTTTGCTGAGGATTTTCTCCACTAAGGTAATCAGCATCTGTCCGTCTAAATGCTTCAACTGCAATCAAGATGATTGACCAACCAAATAATATATTAAGACACACAATACTATAAGGCTCACATCAATGCAACAGCTGACCCATTTTATACCTATAGCTGTCTTTGTGTCTTTCATAAAACCTGGATGACCACTTAAATTCCTGAAAAGGTTGTTCTTAAGATATTCTGCTGTTCTTGAACCACCATGACCTATATACATTGTAAGATCAGAAACAAATTTTACAGTTGGTAAGACAAACATGCAAAGATATCTTTGTAAGTCTGTATTAGAATTACCGACCATCGAAAACACCAAAAAAGCCAACCATCTGCCCATCAACTTCTGATACTGTTGTTTCGAAAAAATCCTCCATTGATGCCCTTTTACCCTTGAAACTGGCATAGCCATAGTTAAGTCTTGCAGTTTTGCTTCCACCCAAAAAGCTACCAAACACAAAGATAGATTTAATTTCCCATAAATATGGCTTGCAAATAAGTTACAGAATTCATCAATCAATAGTAATTTATTGAAATGGAAAAGAGTAAATTTTTAACCACCATAAAGCCAAGCCAAGTACTATTCTAGAGTAGCAGCGCAGCCTATTACGTTTTTCAGGCCCCTTTGAGATTCTATTAGTAAAGCGCTAGCGTCCCTATAGAGTCGGGATATTCTGCTATCAATGAAACCGAAAGAAAGAAAAAACCAGTGCCTTTCATATAGGTCGAAATTTGTAGAAGAAACAACAGACTAACATCTAATAATGAGAAAAAAAAATGTCCTAGAACAAAGCATAGTAGATAGTCCCTCACAGTCTATGGTATCACAAGGCAATTTCTCATTACCCGGATACGAAATTTCATGCAACTGCTAAAATCTGTTTTAATTACACAAGTCAAAAGTCCTTAGCTGGAGAAAGAACTGAGATAAACCATTGGAAAGAAGATCTTATAGCCAAACATATTGCCACCTTGAATAGAAACACAGTTCGTCAACCAGTGGTTTGCTAAAACAAATTTTGACCCATGAAAAAAAAAACAATATTTGTCTTTCGCTGGGAGCTACTGAACCATAAATATTGCTTGTCCAAAGACCTTATCATAAACAACATTGAAAGGAGCTTCCGCAAATTAACCAATACTGTAACACCCTACTGAAACTACAATGCAGGCCAAAAGAATAAAATTTGAACAAGAAGCACAAACTCAACTAGACTCACCCAAAAACAATAGCAAAATTCACTTCCACAAACATAAATACAGCATCCAAAGTCATGATTTAAATGCGGAAAGAAGCCAGTAACTAAGTGGAACTAAAACCTACAGACGTACTTATGATGAGCATAAGCTAGCTCCCATAATGAACATTAGGATAATGTCATTAAATAGCTACCAAGTTTCACAAATATCCATTTTGTACATATTTAGTCGTTAAAGTTTGAATGTGTTTTAATATTGTGACTGTTTGACTCGCAACCGGTGAATTTGGTCAGAGGTTGTTGACTAGGATTTCAAGTTGTAGAGTTGGCTGGATTTTTATTTTATTTTCAGATTTAGGGATAATATTAAATAACAACCTCAATCTGACCGGTGAACTCTATTTGGTGGACATTAAGTCACTAAATCGAAGCCTATTTTTATCTCAAAATTTCAATCCTTCTTTAAATCAAAGCTTATGAGATGCAGTTGTAGACCTAGTGTGGGGATACTTGATTATGCAAGGTGATTTAAATGCCGTCTCCCACCCTTTCTCTCTCTCACACACACCGGTAATTACTTAATCTAGCCCATGTTGTCAAGAAGAAAACCCTAGCCCTTGGCTACCATCGTCACTACCACCATGGCCTTACTACGTCGTCCGTCTATTCACATCCCTGACCCACCCAAACCCCGACAACAGGACAGAAATTGAAAAACCTAACCCTCAAAAATTGACCTTGAACCAAAACAGAGGAAGGGCTTCTTATGTTGAGTAAAAAAAATAGGTGGTTTAATGTTTATTTTGATTAGAAAAAATTTGGGTTTGACTTTTTAGGAAGGAATAAGAGAAAAATCCAAAGTCAGCAAAAATCTACGAGGTTCGACATTGACACATTTGTATACATCGATTCTCGTAACTGGTTTAACATGACAATTTCACAAGATCGATTTAAACCTTAAGAACAAAGTAAATATAAGAAATAGTATAACAACCAAAATAAAATTTGGTAAAAATTTGTTGCTATTTAATGATATTAGTCATAAAAGATTATTGCAAAATCAAGAAAAACAATTCTGGGCCGTCAACACAAACATCTGTATTCCCCTCTCATCAGACATGAATTTAGAAACCACAAATGCCAAAGCAAGCAATGACAGCCTGACAGGAATGGGGAAATGACCCCAAAATCATTCCTTAGTTGGCAGTGTAAACTCTTTCTTTGTTAATCAGAATATGCCTCTAAATTTGCCCATCAATGGATTACACTTTTTGTTAGTCTTCTTCTTGAGCTGAGGATGTAATAATTTAAAGCATTCAATCAGATTCTAAAGCTATAACAGCTATAAAGAAACAAACCCTCTGGCGGGACTAGATTCCCTTCCCACTAATTTCCTTTACATATTTCTAACATTCATCTCTTTTTGTAATCAGCATTTGATCATGTTGGTAAAGACCATATCATCAATAGAGTTAATTATAACTCTCCAATTACCTACACCATCTGGGCATCTCAATTCTCAAATGAATTGTATTTATCCGTGAATTTTTTTTTATTCACGTAATTTTGTTCTTATTAAATTATCGTGTGCTTTGTAGTTTGTAAATCTGTAAATGTAGAAGAAGCCCCAATTGGTAATGGCAAGGACATCGGTGATAAATTATGAACTGAAAGAATATATTTAATTACTTCCCTCATCCAAACCTAGTAGAACCTTTTAGAATACAAAAAAAAAATCAAATTTAAGGATGTTTCAATCATAATAATGTTTTACGTTTAATTTAGTTATGAAAAAAAATTCCTTTCTAACCAATTAAGTTCTCGCCAATGCTCAAAATCCAAAAACCGACATAAAAAATTTAGAACCGTGAGAGTAAAAGGAAAATTAGAAACAGCGGATAAATGGGAGAGGAAATTATGATGCAATACAGACAAAGGTCGGTCCGTTTTGTACCTGATTCCACCACCACTGTCCAGGGCATCAGGGTCCTTAGAGGGAATCGCAATGGCGGATTTCCTTTCTTGTTCCTTTTTCTGTTTCGGTTCAGACAAGGGTTCCGGCTTTTGAGCAGCAATAGGTGGCTGATTCGACGGTTTAACGTCGTTCGTATCCTCGGCAAGGCGAGGAGGTCGACGGTACTGTGGAGGAGCGGTGGTGGAGGAGGGAGCGGCGGTGGAGGAGGCGGTGGTGGAATCTTTGGCATCCATGATCAGTTGTAAACTTGTAATGATGCATTCAAAGGTGGAAATTGGGGGGGAGGATCTGTTGTTTTTCTGTTCTATTCAAAAATCATTCATCTTTTCCTTGGTTTTCAGTGTCTTCGGTTCGTTGTTGTTATATGGCGATGACGCTACCCAATTTTGGCAATTTTTGATCTTTTGCGATTCACGCCCCTATACTTTCTATTTTATTCAATTTTAGCCCTCTACTGTTAATTTTATTCAATTTTAGCCCCCTACTGTTAATTTTATTCAATTTAGGCTTAACCAAACACCAAACCGAATCCAATCTAGCGAAAAATAAGTTAACATTTGATTCGTATTTATGTCTTAAAACCCCTTATATTGCAGTCGAATGGTAAGAAATTGGTGTGGATATATAACATATCTAAAATTTAGAAAATATTAGCAAATTTAGAACTTTAAAACTCCTTCAATACAAAGTAACTTTAATATAAAAGCTACATAAAGTTTATCCAAAAGGAGAACAAGGTATATATCAGAGTTCTAAATGGACTATCTAAATCCTAAACATAATTAGAATATAAGTCTGGTGTTACTAATATCACCAAATCTGTTATTTTCAAAATCGGATGATGCCCCTAAGCCATCTTACTGGAACCTCTACAAAGCTCTATACACCACTCAGTTCTCTCTAAAACCTGATATACATGTCGATAAGGAAAAGTTTTAAGCTTAACGTCTAGTGAGTTAAAGCAGTTTCATCATGTAAAACATAAAACAGTTTAAAACGAACATTTTCTTTAAAACAACGACTCATCATTTAAACCTAATTCATAGAAAGGAATAAATTTACAAAGCTCGCTATTTCCAATTCAAATACCCGTTTTAGACAAATAACCAATATCCAAACTCACTCAAAACATATGTAAGATGTAAACTCCAAAACACCAATTATGTCAATAAATTGATCGATATATTCCAAACACCAAAAGCATGGGTAACAAAGTACCTGAAAACCACACCTTTCCATGATGGGGGAGACTTGATTCCACTGAATATGACAGAAACACAAAGTTAAGCCACTTATCAACGTTTTCGAGTTTCACTTTAGGCCATGGATTCCCGTATACGGCTCCATTGAGAACCACTTCAAGATTCCCAAAAATGACCCTAGTGTCTACTTAGCCTCTAGATGAATCTCACCACAAAGTCACTAGTCTTTGTATGCGGCTCCAATGAGTACCCCCGCAAGATCTAGCCCTGTATACAACTCAATCGAGTACCACCGCATACCATAGCTCTGTATACGACCCAAAAGGGTACCCTCACAAGCTCACTACTCATTACATGGGGACCACTCAATAGCATACTAAGTGTGAACATTAACAAGAGAGGCTCTTATGCCTATGGATCCAATGTATTACAGTGTAAAATTACATGATACCAATTGAATAACTATCACACTCAAAACATATAATAATCGATATATATGCAATAAATGCATCATACATGAAAGGCCCCACATTCGGCCATTAAGCCGGACAAATGTCCCCAACCATTTAGTTAAAAATTAAGCCAGAAGGCCTCATAAAACACTTGATTACTTTAAATAAAGCCAAGGTAATCACATAGATTGAAAAGCGTATTTTCCCAATATTTAACAAATACATGGCACTATAACATGAATAAGTCCATAACCAACACTTCATTGGAGTTTGATAACTAAAAGGCCTAAAGTTGTACGGTTTTTATTTCCACAATCTCCGCAAGGCCAAAGGAGGCGTTATTAAATATTTATCCGATTATAACCATAAGTCTGTTATGCAATAACCAAAAGTCCAAAGGTTGTATAAAATCCCAAAAACAACATTGACTCCATATAGGGTTAACAAACCCTTTAAGTAAATCAACAAATCCAAAGGAGATCATTAAATCCCAAGACATCCTTTTAAGATCCAAATTAACATTTTCGTCCAAATATCCAAGTAAATCATTTTTCATGAAATAAATATCATTTTGTGTCTCAAAATACTCAATACGACATCATAAACATTTTCTATGGATTTCATAATCCAAATATGCTCAAATTAGAATCATTTATAAACTCATCAAATGTGGAAATAAATCATAAATATGTGTTCAAACACACAAAATAGAGATATTATGACATCTATATAGTTTTGCAAAGCAACTAGAAATCTAGAGTTCACCTTGCTAGATTTATGCTAATTCTAGGTTCCAAACCAAACATTTTGCTTCCTTTGAAGAAAACTTGAGATCTAATAGCAAAGTTCTACAATACCAAGCTCCTAAACCTCCCAAAAAATCATTTCCACTTAAATGAAGAGATATGGCCCAAAGCGAGTTTAAGTCACCAGTACATGACTGGTGCGACCCCGATACAAGTTTAGCCGCATCAAAGTTCCACACCCTTCGAGTTGGGTGCACACGGTGGTGAATGAGACCCCGATGGGGGTTTAGCTGCATCAAAGTTGCCTGTATGCTTCAACCTGGACACAAACAGTGCCTAACGTGTCTCTACGGCGGGTCTACCTGCATGGCACCCACATTTTACACTATCTCTCATCCCAAAATCCATTTTTCTTGTGTTTTAAACACCACCAAACATCTTATACCTAAATTTCTCAAGGGATTCGAATCTAACGTATCAGGAAAAGAAATACAGATAAATTCTAACCTTATAATTAAATATAAAGTCCGGGTATTATAGTATATATCTTCTAGATAATAATTTATGGGTTTTGACCATACACAAGTTGAGCCTAAGGTCTAATATAGCAAAATCACTCTTTTACAGGTTTTAAAACTTACCTATACTCCCCCTATAAACACATTGTCCTTGCCGACTAGCTAATTGGTCTAAAACGTCTTTTACCTTTAAAAAGAGAAAAAAACACCTAATTAAACTCGTAAGGTATGTAAAATCATTCAGAATACATCATTTTCGTTTCAAACTTTAATTAACTTGGTACACACATATTTTTAGGATAGGTAAATAAAAAAATAGATTCAGAAAGTTGTTTTTTGGAGTATCAATTAAGATAATACGTACAAATAAGAGTTATATTAAGGGTGTGTTTACTTGCATTTCACCACCTCTTACCTATAAGAGGCCTCTTATCCGAATAAGAGGTGGATGTTTACCAAAAAAACAAAACAAAGCTTTGACCCTTAAGCATCCTTTGACTGTCCTCTGATGGTAGACAGAGTTAAAAATATATTTATCCAAAAACAGAGATGTACTTTCTCGGTATACCACTCTTGTGGTCAACTTCGGAAAAAAACGGATGGAACTGCAAGAATCTTAATCCTTTCCTTATCTTCTGCCTCCACTGAAAGTGGTGAACCCAATAATTTCTTTGAGCGGGTGCACCTTTAAGGTGGATAAAGGGTCGGCAAAATCATGGTTTTGACTTGGCGAGAAAGTCAAAGCTGCTTAACCTAGGGAAAAATCAATTGTGTCGATTTAAGAAATATGATACATTTTTTCAAATGAAATTGACCTTGATCTTTAAAATAAATATATGTTTCCTTGAAAATGAGATTAAAAAACGACGATTTTTAAGATGAATTGACATTGATAAGAAAGATAGATGATGAAAAAAAAAATCAAAACGGAAGAATAATTAACAAAAGGTTGCATTGGCATAGTGGTAGTTAGTGATGGCCAAAAATCGGTCCCGGGCTGCCTAATCGGTCACAAGTTTTCTCGTAACCGGTCCCGGTCGAAAATGGTAGGACTTGTCAAGGTACTTCATAACCGGTTATGGGCCGCTGGTCCCGGTCCCAACCGGTCCCGGCATTAAAAAATAAGATTTTTTTTAATTTTTTTTGATAATATATATTTTTAATACATTATAAAATTTACAATTGGGTCACTCAAATACACTTTAAAAATACGTTTTAATATAATTAAAATTACGTTATCTTATAAAAATACATTATAAAATTATTTAAAATATATTTATTTATAAAATTATTTGAATTTTTGGGCCGGGCCGGGCCGATCCATAGCCGGTACCGGTCCAACGAAACTACCAAAAACCCTAAGCGGTCCCGGTTTTCAGTCTCATAACCGGTCCCTACCAGTCTCGGGTCGGGCCTGTCCTTTGCCAGTCCCGATCCCGGTCTTCTGGCGGTCTCGGTCCGAGCCGATTTGGCCATCACTAGTGGTAGTAATGCTTATAATTATACTTGAGGTTGTGAGTTCAATCATTTTAACTATTTTTTTTCTTAATATCTTTAGAAATACCATTTAGGCCTAATCCCTAGATCCTAAAATTAAAAGATGAAAAGGTAAATTTTCACCTAAAAGATTTGAATCTATGACCTCTTGTATATAAAGTGGTAATCTAACTATCCAACCCATGCTTAGTTTCTACTATATATTTGCTTTCAAAATATTTAAAGGCACCCTTCAGAATCAAGCGGGTGCACCTTTCAGACTGCTAAATTTTTCCTCTTGCAATAATCGAGTGAATAGGTGCACGAGGTCCCGCTTAGCTCCTAATAAGTCTACCCCTGTCCATCAACCACCTTTTCTTCTCTCTTTTAAAAGAAACGCCACTTGCACCGCCTTGAGCACTCTACCCTCCTTCAATGTCATCGACCAATAGAGATTTTGTTGATGGATTTTCTAAGATATTGAAGGATGAAGAGAGAGATTTTGGGATTTGGAATCGGTACAGAATATACATTTTGGCTACCTCGGGGATACCAACCTACATGCCTATTGATGATAAGCATTTAAATTTGTTTGGTATATATACTTCATAAAACAAATAGTGTGATTTTTCTTTTGCAATATGAAAAAAATATGGCTTTAATGCTTAAAATTCTTAATCTATATCTGTTGGGTCATTGACCAGCATCTTCCTAAATCGAAACTTGGCGCTGGCTGCTACGCTATAAGGAAATAAGTTGCACCTTCTCCACCAGCAATTGTTTTTGGCGTAGTGGTAAGTGCTTGGGTCCTAGCATGTGATATCAGAGCAGGTCATGGGTTCGAATCCCATGGAGTGCATAATAATGCCAAAGGCATGCTGTGCAGCCATTGACTTCTAGCAAAGATCTTGTTAGTGCTGGCAGATGCTGGGGGGGGA